TTTGACTTGTCACCGAAGAAGCATTTATCCCATACTTCACATGACTGGGGTTTGAAAACCTACTAGAGAGAAAAAAACATAACCTAAAGAGTACATTATACCTGCACATCCTGAAATGTGAGCTGCCTTCACAACTGATCAGAAGGTAGCTCATCCTATTGACAGGAACTTTTTTCCAAGCAAAATGGCCCTGAATTGATTAATAAATGCCAACGTAAGGACCGCAACTATGGTAAGACTGGTCTGGCTAGCCTAAGCCTCACTTGTCCCACCTCAACATTGTGGAGAGGTTGGGGCAGCTGTGAGGACAATAGCAAAGTCAGACAGGAATTTTACACATCTAATCCTATCTGCAAATCCACCAGTGAGGGAGAATGACTTCTGTCCACAATGCAATCCTAACAGAGACTGATTAAATATTTTAACAAATGTTGTGATCTTCAAGTAAATATAGTATACTGCAGGAAAGGGAGAAGCTCGGTTCGAATTGCTTCAAGATCGTGCCTCACATAGAGGAAGGAAATGTAGGCAAAGTCTGCTTAGAAACAGAACAAAAGGGGGAAGGTCTACAAAAACAGAAATTGCTGGAGAAATTCAGCAGGTCTGGCAGCAGGTGGAGAAAAAGCAATGTTTCAAGTCCACTGACTTTCCAGTTCAGAGCAAAACATTGACTCTGATTTCTCTCCACAGATGCTGCCAGACCAGTTTCAGATTTCCAGCATTCACTATTCTTGGTTTTACTGTAGGGCGAGGTCCATATGTTAATGAAGAGCACAGTGCGTACTGTTAAGAGGATTAAAATTCTAGGGAAAAATCTCTGTTCAAAAAAAAAAAAGGGGGAACACTGGAAAGTACTGGATTCTATACAACAGTCAGCTCACTTAGGCAGTGAAAAGGTATTACAGAAAGTAATCAGTGTGGAGCTGGAGGAACACAGCAGGCCAGGCAGCATAAGAGGACTAGGAAAGTTGACGTTTTGGGTCGGGATCCTTCTTCAGAAATGATGCAATTTCTGAAGAAGCGATCTACGAGTGTTGGTTTG